TACGGGCACTGCACTAGTTTTATCAGATGATCATATGTTCTACTCTGATACAAACACATAAAAGGAGTCAGGAAGGCAAACTTTAAACATAACCAATGTATGTACACATATTGCTTATGTGTACACATTATATCATTGGTGTAAAAAAATAATTGTTGTTGTTAGGCTTGAGTGTAAGTGTGTGTGCGTGTGTGTGTGTGTGTGTGTGTGGCCCTTACCTCTAAATGAAGGCATTTCCTCCTCTCCAGTAAAATCCTCCTCTGAAAAACAAGACAAGGAAAAAAATGCAAAATAGAGAATTTGAGAACATGACGTTCTTCTACTGACCTAATAACAAAGAAATCATGGAATTTAATATGTTTAGTGTTTTATTGACCTGCCATTTCTGTCAGTTAAGGTGCTAAACACACAAGTTAAGTCAAAAATATGTAAAATGTGGTACCTATTATTCACTTTTCAGATCGCAGAAAATACTGACTAATCACTTTTGTACTCTTATCTTTATATATATTAAGATACAACATGGAATAAAACCAACCCTGTAAACAGTAGGTTGTAATTGTATAAAAGGACAGTGTGACATTTTGGGAAATACACTTAATTGCTTTCTTGACGAGAGTTAGATCAGAGAATTGATACCTCTTTTATATCTGTATGGAGCTCGAGCTGAGAGGCAATTAGCTTAGCTTAGCATAAAGACTGGAAACAGAAGGAAACAGCTAGCTTGGCTCTCTCATCGGATAAATTGTCTCTCTCTAAAACTGTTAGCCGTTTGTTTAATCTGTGCACAAACAGAAATGCAAAAATTAAACAAAGTACAACGTATCAAAATGTAAGCTTTAACTCGAGGAGGATTTTTTTTAGTTAGCTAGCTACCGTTCTCTAAATAAGCTAATCTCTAGCTCCGCACTTAACGCACAGCCAGAAGAATAATATCCATTTTCTTATCTAACGCTTAGCACAAAACAAATACATGTCCCAAAAGGTCAATTTTCTTATAAGATCAAATAAGGGCAGCAAACAACTAACATAAGACAAGCATCACTCCCAAATTTACCCACAAACTTTGAATTTAATTGGCAGTACCATATTTAATAGAAAACCCTAATCATTACCTTTGAAAAGCTGGTTCTCGTATCCACCATAGTTGTCTGCCAAAAAAGACACAAAACAGACATTTTAAAAAAAAACAATACTGACTGAAACAAATTTTGCTGGAGCCACCAACAAGTTTTTATTACGCTTGTCATAAATCATACAAACCAGCTGCCTCACAATCCCCCACAGCCTCCCGCTGAAGTCTCTACATTATCCTGAGTATGTTCAGTATGAGGCAGCTATCTCAGCACCATAAAAAGGAAAGTTTTTGTTCTGCTCAGATGTTTTCTCTGAGCCTTTGCTCACTCAGGAGAAAACAGCCCCATAGTGGTGCAAAGTATGAGAACAGTTGTTGGTTTTGTGCGCTGATTTCGGGTGGGAGTATTGTGTGTATGTGCGTATGTGTGCACATGTGTCTGAGGAGGTTGTCATCACACACTCTGGCTGCAAAGGACTGAAGTAAAAGACACATGACTTCCACAGAATATAACCAAAGGGCCTAATAAACCACACAAGGCCGGTTTACTTTAAAATCCCAGAACACAATCAGCTTCATGTTTTCATAAGTGTATGTAATAGCAATGGACTTTAGACAACACGTCATTAACTGTACACCACCCAAACTGGTACCCAACCCCACACTTTAGGCACTGCGGGTGTGGTACTTGATGTTTAAGAAGGCAAAATACTCAGTGGAGCAGCAGGGGAGACTGAAGAAAGAAAGCTGGGAAACACACACATATATATATATATACGCACTCATAGACAGAAAGAGTTTGGCAAGTTGCTGACTAGCTTAAGAGAGACAGCTAGACACTCAGACTGAGTTGTCAGACTGCGAAAGCATTGTTGTATAATGTAACATATGCAGTCACACATGTGTACAACTCAATGACTTGACACGACATGGCAGGAAATATGGAAAATGTGTTGACTGAGTCTAGCCAGATGCAGTGTAATTTAAAGGAATATTCCACAAAAAATCGATGGTCTAAGACGGCTGGTGCCCTCATGTTTAAAAAAACAATGCAACTGCCCTCTTGAATGCCCCTGTGGTAGATAAAAGATGATAAAGTACCCTCTGCCAACCCTAACCCTTTTATTTTCTTCGCCCCAGCCCCTCAAGCAGAGTCTGACAGTGATTGTACCCATGACAACGAAGGTCCCCCAACCTTGGCAAAAATACTTATTTTAAAGCTATTTTAACATTTATAAAAATGTCTGAGAAATATAGTTAAATCAATTAAAGCATCTGTGTGAGATCTGGGAATGAGACTCAACAAACAACTATCCTCCTCTGCTCTGACTGGTTGTTTTTCTTCAGTCGCAGTGGATTATTGCAAATACCATTAGGAGCCTCTCATGTACTACAGTCAGGATACAGTGAAACATTGGAACATATTAAGCTTATGATGGTTTGACTGGAAAAACACTAAGGCAATCACTATTGGTTGCTTAAAACACATGAAATATTTCTTTAAGCACTACATTTGTGGAGATTCAGAAGTTGCAGTACAAAATGCTAATGAGCAAATGCTTACAGTGGGACTTTTCTTGTCTGTTACTCCCACTGTGCGACCTTAACTGTGTTTTTATTTAAGTGAAAAGATACAGTGTAACTGTAAGCGTGGATATAAAGATATTTTTCTGTTTTATTCCATTTCTCAAGCCAATACAGAATGATGCAAAATTTCTGAAACCAAAGTGTCTGCTTTGGCTCAGTCTCTGTGGTTAACCACATAATCAGCTCAACATGAACAGAAGTTTGGCCTCTGACAGGGAGAGAACAAGAGAAAAATGGCTGTGAAGAGAATAAAACCAGGAGAAGTTGCACATACAAGGTTTGATAAAGGGTCAAAAACATAATTTTTCATGAATAAAGTAGATTTTTAAACAGATAGAAACCTTATAATTCATTGTGTATTTACCACTTCTACACCAGACTGTTTTAGTGCAAACATTTACCTAAAACTCTATATTCGTAATGAATTCAAAGAGAAAACCTTTGTTCACTGTCTGTGAGAATCAAATAACAGTCTGCATGTAGCATTATAGGTGTTGGCACAAACATGGAACATTTTAATGTTAGGTTTTCTATAAATGCACTTATTGTTTAAATTTGGAATAAACCAAATTGCACTTTGCAAATGCCATGATGAGGTGACTGTTTATGTCAGTCAGTGGTGGAACAGCTGAGGTCAGGGTGGATGACATAATGACGGATGGAGGAGACAGGGAGAAGAAAACAGGAAAAGAGGTGAAGGCAACCACCTCTAAAGAACTAAAAGACAGAAATAAAGAAAGTACAGTAAAGGTAGAAAGTGAGGAAGAATTGCCTCACATGTTGCTCTTTAGTTGCCTGATATATGAAGCCAGTATTTGTCTTTTATTAGAAACATGAAAACAAAGGCATCATCTATGTGGAAGCAGTTATATACTTTCTGGAGCTTTTCATCAACGTTATAAGGTGTAAAATATGCAAACGTTGTTTTTCCAGCTTGTTCTGCTGATCCCATGTGGCCAAAAAATACATTTAACTGCTTTAAAATGTGGAAAACAAAATCATTCACCATTTTTCAGAGATATTATTATTCTGGGTTTCATGGAGGAGTTTTCATGTCCCATACTGGTAAATCCTGTTCCAGAGACTCTCCCACCCTGATTAAAACGGAAAACTGAATTCTTGTCATTTTTTGGACTTCTGTGGAATGCAAATGGTCAGATGGAAATGTTTGAAAGTCAGCACATTATTTGCTATTGGAAGCTGAAATTCCAGAATATCACAATCAGTATCCACCCTCAAATATCTGCCTGCTCCTCAGTCATGCTTCTCCTCCTTCACCTCCCTCCCTCTCTTTTTCTCTCTCTCCTTATGTTTTCCCAGCTTTCTGTGGAAAAAGCCAATGTCTGTCTCGTTAGTGAGGAAGTCGACCTGTCCAACACACACAGAGTAGAACTGAGCTGATCTGACAGCAGCACAACACAGCCCTACCAGGTCACATATATACAGTCAGCCAATGGCACTGTGACGCTTTGATTTAATTATGTTTTCAAGTTAAAAGTGAGTTGTACTTTATTAACTACTCCCTACTTACTCCCTTTTGTGAAAACAAACAAGGAGCATCTGCATAAACCCTTCATGACATGTGCCCTGCTCTCCCGTAACTGTGTGGGATCAGATAACCACCATCACAGCAAGATCTCAGTCCAACTGGTTTGGACCTCTGTGTTCTTCTTTTTTTAATGAAACTGCATTATGAGATAAAAAACATCTTCAAAGTTTGAAATAATCTTAGTGGATACTGGATAGTTTTACCTCTTCAAGGCTCTAAGGAAATATTTAAAAAATAAGGAGGTATTACAATCACATCACTCTTTTGAACTGCTCACAAGCAGAAGACATATGCAACCAATAAGTCACAAGCAGAACATGCTATATACAAGGCAACAAGTCCTTCAAATTAAGCAACAAAATACGCAGTTTAGCCATGCTCTAGAAGGCTCAAGAATGAAGACACAATAAAGTGTTTGCTAATCTAACGCCCCTATTGACAGGATGACATCATCTCAGTCTGTGCCTTCAGAAAACCATACAAAACACTGTTGATTTGACAACTGAGTGGTTAAGGTTTGTTAGGTTTAGGCTAAAAAAACAACTTGGTTAGGTATAGATACAGATCATGGTTTGGGTTAAAATAAGGTTTGTTCATGTTGGGGAACCTTTTCCTGAATATGTTGCTATCATGTTGCTACTGTATGTAAGATGCATCCCTATCACCAAACAAGGATGCAGACATTAAATGATTCTGCAAAATTATTGCTTTCTACTGTATCTGCACATGGCAACCACAAAATGGTTGAGTCTAGGGAAAGATTGTGCTTATAGTAAATGAGTATAGTTTACGAACAGTGAGGGTTAGGTAACTGCAAACTCTGCTTTCCTGCATGAAAATCCAACAGGCTACACACCCATCCAACACCCATCATTTCTGTCTTGCTAGGGATACTACTTCCTGTTAATCTTGAGATGTGGATTCATCCAGTATGGATGTCATTCTTAGGAGCACTGGTCTGATAACATCTCAGTCATAAAGTAAATGTTTAGATGTGAACCAATTTTTTTTCTCCCCTTATACTTGTATGTAGTGGCTCCTTTTTATCGTCTCTATTTTTATTTTTCAAGCTTGATTCTCTTATGCACCAATGTACCAAGGCAAACTCATTGAGATTCAGTAACATAATGAGTGTCCATAACTAGAGATGTAAAACAGATTTTCACGATCTGGTCAGTAAACAACCCTGAAGGTACAAGGCGAACTTAATTTGAACTGAACTCTATTAACCTTTAGAGGAAATTAGTTTAAGGCGGAATTCTAGATGCTTTAAACAACAAAACAGATCATTAAACAAACTGTTAGAAAATGGCTGGTAAAATGCATTTCATTTGTAACAGTATTATAAATAAATACATCAATGTCAGCTTTCTCAATTACAAACTGTACTGCAACTTCTTTTTGAGATTAAATTAAATATGGATTATCTGCAGTACAGCATTCTGCAGAACAAGAAGGAAACAAGAAACGTTGGCAACATCTTGTTGTTTGTGAGGCAGACGGAGGATGGAAAAGTTTGGTTGCTGTTTGAATACGCACTCAGAGCCCAGCAAGTGCGCACTTGTTGTAACAAGAAGTAAATATACTGCAAGGATGTGTATTTCTAGGAGAGGCCTGAAAAATGTGCTGAAGAAAATCCAAAGAAACTAAACATTAGGTTTTTCCAAAGGATGTAGCAGCGAACAGTGGGTAATTCAAAAGTACAACAAGGTGAGGAAAAGGACCATACTTTTGTATTCTGCCAAGAATACCCTTTGTGACAAATTATATTGCATGCCTATTAAGTGCTATTTATACACCTGGTCTTTTGGTTTTGTAATTAACCTGGAAAGCAGCTGACCTGCACTTATCGAGGTAACTGGACTGAAAATATTGCTACGGCTGACCACAGAAACACTAGAATACTATTAAATGTTGTTTTGATTACACGTTGTGTGTTT